TGCATGACCTGGTGATGGGGCAGCAATATCTAGCTATCTAGGTGGATTGTAGTGGCAGAAAGGAAGTCCACAACCTTTCAATCATATCTAAACCCCAACACAAAAATGTAACTTATTGTAGCTTACCAGCCCATAGTTGAGGTGGCTTTTATTTTCTATTTTTTCTTTATTTTAACCGGGTAATCCTGGGAATAACACACTGCCTGTCCTACAATGGCTGTGCTTACCCACTTCTCTGTATCTATGAAGGCAGCTATGGTTGTCACCCAGGCTGAACTTCAAAAATGTCTCCCTCGACGGGGCACCCATGCTTATCACCCAGGCTAGACTTCAAACCAGTGACGTGCAGTAGGGTCCATGCTAGGTGAGGCATTCCCCCTGCCCGCCCCCAACCCGGTCACCGAGCTATGTGTGGAGGAAAAGGGAGGAGACAGAGAAGAGCCTCCCTGTCCCTCACTTGTTCGTCACTGGTGAGGCATTGAGATAGATGTCCTCAGGGGTTTTTTTTTGTACGCAGAGTAGAGGCTGTTGCAGCTCTGCCCTCACTATGTTAGGTTACACAAAGCAGTGGTGAAGCCCGGTCTGTGTAACCTAACTTAGCTGTCAAAAGCCAGATGCAGCACCACCTGTAATTAACAGGCAGTGCTCCATCCATGACAGGCTACACAGCGGGGAGGTTTTCCCTTCTGTGTAACCTGTTACAAGCCAGTCTGAATGGAGAAAAAGCTGTCAGCTTCAGACTTGAAGCTGACAGCTTTTTTCCCCCATAATACTAGGTGATGCTCTGCCTCACCTGCCTCCCCAGTCCGCACGTCCCTGCTTCAAGCATGTCTTCCTTTTTTTATCTCCATTAAATTGTGCGTAGGGGTTTAGTAGTTTACAGATGGAAGATAACAGTGTTTGTGCCTTCAATTCAGCTCACAGGCAATGACTAGGACACTGCATCTCTGGCAAAATCAACAGATATTATCTAATTCAGCCACCACATCTAAAGATCTGGTAGGCAGTATATTACATTTTTGTTGAAGGATTTAGATATCCTTTCATTCTTTGCAGAGTTGTGTTACAGACTGTCAGTGACATGCTTTTTTTTTGTGCAGCCCATCTGCCCTAGGCCATGCCATGTTGCAGAAATCTGGCCCTGTTGACATGGCTTATTTTTGTATTGTGATCACCATTATCTGTATCAAGTAAATCAGTCATTCTAAATGCACTTAGCACCCAGGGATGAGCCCATCATATAAATCTTGGTGCAGTTCTATTGCTTTATCAGACATGACAACTATAAAATATACAGGCACAAATTGCAAACATTTGTTTTCATTTACACATTTTTAGCCCATCGGAGAGCAGAATGGCAATTGCAAACTACAACACAAAATATTTATAGTATGCATGGATTGTGTTTTTCTCCACTTGCATAGCTAACTGGAAATGAAGGACAAGCTTAGACTGTCTTAATCCTTAAATGCTGAACGAACTTCTATACAATATAGTCTGTTTATGCAGCAAAATGCTAAGGAGACAATCAGCCTTGAAGCAGACATTTTCAACTCTATCCAAAGAGGTTACATTCAGCCTGACATGAGTACTTACTTCACACCGTGAGCTACTACATAAAAAATGTTCTCCAGTTTGTGGCGTTTTCAACCACTTTTTTTTACTGATTACCCGATTATTGCTTTTGAGATGATGTGAGATGCATCAAGCTATGCAGGTTTTCTCCTGAGGAACCCTTGTAATTTCAGATGAGAATAAACCTAATGAATTGCTAACCATCTAAAAGGGAGCAGCTATGTTTAAAGGACAATTATAGTCCCTTTTTTAGAAGTTTAAAGCCGAACTCCAGACGGATATAAAAGAAATGCTGCTAGCAGCTTGTTATAGGTGTACAGACCCAGAGTGGGTGAACTGAAGGACCCAGTACATAATTCCACCCAAAAAAAATTGCAAAATACATGGAGAGAGAAATAAAAAGAACTTAACCAGACTGTACAGTTGTGTGCTGTCTCTGGCAGCCGTGCTGCCCTAAGCTGTGGCCTGTGTTGGTCACACAGAAATCTGGCATAACATTTTAAAAACGCTATATATATTTATTGATTTTTGAAATGGATATTTGGGTTTTGAATTCCTATGCAAATCTATTAGAATGCAAAACCCACTTGAAGAGGTCAGCTGCAGGTCAAAAGAAGGCCAACCACAGATCAGAAGCAAGGCAATTGCAGGTCAGAATGAGGACAACTGCAGGTCAGAAGGAGAACAACTGCGGGTTGAAAGGAGGACAACTGCAAGTCAGAAGGAGGACAACTGCAGGTCAAATGGACATGCCAATGAATTCCAAAAGATCGCAGAAGCATCTCAAATTGATGTCATCAACACAAGCCCAAAGCACATCGATAAAGGCCCTAATAGTAGTTAATAACATTCAACTGGACTTGCTCTATAATTCTAAAGACATTTCACAATGCATCTAAGTGGTTTCCCCAATTCAAATGAGTAGTAGGAATCTTCCTTCACTATTTATAACCACATGGGTAATTCAGACACCTTATAGAATTACACTGGAATATGTTAAGCCAAATGCTAATTGAATTATGACGCACCTCAAACTAATGCCATAGACAAAAGCCCATTGATGAAGGCACTCGATCTTCCCGCAGTTCAGATTTAAGGCTGAAAGCCAGGCACATATAAAAGCACCATGAGGGGAATTTATCAAAATTAGCGCAGACAACTTCTAAGGCAGTTGCTCATGGCAACCAATCTGGTTCTATTTTTCATTTTCAAAGCTCAATTGAACAATCTTAAATAAGAAGCTGATTGGTTACTATGGGCAACTGCTCCAGATTCTAACTGCTCCAGTTTTAATAAATCCCCCTCTATATATTCTTGGAATAAAATAATATATTGCTTGAAAGCAGCTAGTGTAAGTACCTATATATGCCTTGGTATCAGCCTTTAGTGGGAGAGCAGGAGAAGGAGGAGTACTGAAAAGGAATATGTTGACAAGCCTACAGATCAGCGAGTTGAGCTCATCAGCCTCTTGTTCCGCCTTCACAGTCCAATCACAGGCTGGGGGTGGAGAGGTGACCTAGTTGTGCTGCTTAACTTCAGCAGAGAAATGTCAGGTCAGCAGCCTGGCTGTGCTGACTGGCAGGGCTTTGTGCATTTCAGGACTGGAAGAACAGAAATACCGCAGGTAGAACAACTCACAGATATGCATGCAACTGTGTACAGTATGTACAGTATTTAGTTGTTCGTCTGGAGTTCAGCTTCAGGAAAAAACACAAATGAATAAAAATAAAATGTTGTTAAAATAGAAACACGAAATAAACCTCACCTCCTGTTCCACCTTTTATGCCCTTTGTAAACTGCTTGTGTATACGCTGTGTGCTCAATTTATAATTTGGGACAATTTTGCTTTCTGTATTTTCTAAAAAGAGCAACGTTAATGTATTTATTGTGTCTAACAGTTTTCCTCTCACCCAGGAGTGAAAATTATTCCTTTTGATTACTTAATGGTTTCTAAATAATGAAAGTGTTATGTTAAGAAATAAGCAAACACTTTTTTTTTTAACTTGGACGCAGCAGCCCATGGGAACTCTTCTAATGCCCACTCAAAAATGGTGCTATAATATGCATGACAATGTTCAAAGCCCAATTCTAGACAAAAGTTATTCTTTAAAGAGACCCTGTCATCAGATTATTTATTTTAACAACAATCTTCTCAATACATTTTATATACAGATATACTGTATATGTATATATAAATATATATATATATATATATATAACATTTACCATACTTGAAATATTTGTGCAATGTTTAAACTGGTGGAAGGGTCTCTTTACAGGACACCTTTACCTCTAAATAAAGTATCCTTCCTCCCCATAGTCCTTCTAAGCTACTCCACACAAACTACTTACCCCTTTGGCAGTCTGCTCCATTACTAACTTCCTTTCTGTCAAAATTCTCTCCAGTGCTGGCTGCGCATGGGCACTGTACATCTCTGCAGTACATTCACAGTTTCTCATGTTTTTGCACTTTGAAAATATTGCAGTTACAGAACAATACTTGTTGAGCTGCTAGATATTTAGTGAGCTCCACACTTTCTGCAATGAGATGACAACTCTGCTTCTACTGCACTGAAATTCCAAGAAGTGTTTTTAGCCATTTCTGCTGTACTAAAGGATACTTCCTCCTATTTTATGGCAATAAGGAGAGGCAACAGGTGTCCTGTAGTCCAGCAGGGGAGAACCCAGGCAAGGCTGGCAACACAACTTTAGGGCAGCAGAGGCAGTGTGTTCTTACTGGGTTCCTGGCAACTTAACAGATATTTTTCTGGACTTGCAGCTTTTTTTAAAGAAACAAAACATGGGGAAATGTATATGCATGCAGAGAAGAACTGAATATATTTTTTTATTTAATAAAGACATATACTTTTAGGTTCTAACTTGATTTATATAATTGTGGAAGTAAGGAAGAACACAGTTTCTGCCAACAGCAACGCATGAAGTTTTTAACTATTATTTTGTTACGCTGCAGAAGAAAACTGGTAGTTGGCATATTGGTATTGGTATATTGGTATACTATTGGTGTATTAGTTGGCATATTTGTGGTTGTTATGGGCAAATCCATAATTTTTTAATTTCTTACCCCTTTTTAAAATGAATGTTTAGGAAGGCGAAATATGTCTATATGTTACATTCCATACCGAGACACGACTTTAACTCAGCCTGAGAAAGGATTATGTACTTTTGCCGTATGGTCTGTTTTGCTCATCTAAACAGATGGCATGTACATGGTATCCCTTGGGAAATCTCAGAATAAACTGATGCCTTGGAAATAACAATTAAATTAGCTTAATTACTTCATGTCGACTTGATAAGTCACTGTTTCTAATGCAAAATCTGCCAGTTGCAATTAATAGCTACTGGTACTAATTCAATTGATGAAGTGTCTCCTTTGTGGGAAGAATGAAGTTACTTCAGTGACTTACAGTAGTTCGGCAGAGAAGTCTTGTCCTAGTGGGATGTACAGCTGCAAGATCAGAAACCTCTGGATCAGTCCAACTGAGGATGATAAACAAGAGATAAAATAAACAATGCGTTCAGTGTTAATGTGATCAGCCTGAGTATGCAGTAATGTACGTTCAGAAGACTATTTTTAAGCAACAGATGTCTGTGCAAATCCAAAGGAATGTTTTAAAGCACAGCTGTGTTCATTGCAAGCATCCAGTCATGGTAATGAAAAAATGGTACTCAACATACAGTACAGTCTTACCTCCACTCTCTTGCTATAGCAGTTGCGCAATGTGAATAAAATATAACTGTGCAGTCCAATAAGCACCAGAGTTTGACCCAGCGCATTTGGTAATCTAACAGATTTGGTCAGACATGCCCTCTCCCATCCTCAGCATTACAGGTCTGTGTGAGGACACTTGTGATGATGAATGTGGCTGATATTCATTATTGCCAGCATAGACCACTGGAGAGGGAGAGCAGGAACTGCATTTCCAAAAAGACCATAAGGTAATTTGAGGCATTTCTAAGCAAAACTCAGTTAAAAATCATAATTTAGTCAAGTCAACACAGGACTATTAAGATGCATTTTTGCTTTGGGCAATGTTTTTTTTTTTTTTAAAAAGCCCCCCAGCAGATTTTTTAAATGAAAGCAAAAATACAACTGCTACACTCATCTTCTCTCTGACACTGTCCCCTGTGATAATTATTTTCTACCACTAGTTCTGCTTCCTCACTCTTCTGGGTTAAATGATGCCCAGAATCATTCAACCTGGAAGACTGAGGAAATAAAGTGAGTGCAGAGTGTTGTGGACCTGCTGCATACGGGGGCATCACCATGCACTCACATAACATTATCAGTTTAGCACTCCACATTATGAGCTCTGCTGTAGATGATCCAAAAGGGATCACATGAACGGTCTGAAGACATCTGTAAAAGGTAAGTATACAAAAAATACAGTGGGGGAAGAGGGAGCAATGGGGAGGGTGAAGTTGGGCTTTAAGACGGTCAAGCTCACCAAAAACCTGACCATGGCAAATAACAGTGGCACACAGGCCCCTGGCAGACATCGCAGGTAATCAATGATGATAGAAACATAGAAACAAGAGAGCTCCAGGTTCAGGCTTCACTACCTAGTGAGTTAGTAACTTGTACAAAACAAGCCCCGTAGATGAGATTCGTCCATATTAAGGGACAGTCAACCAATATCAATAGTCACTTTTAGGCTTCACTTTCTGATGAAGGATCAACTTTTTGTAAAGGATTATATTTTCTACTGAAACTAACAACCAAAAAAGGGACAACAAAAAAGGGTTACACTGTATTTGAACTAAAAAAAAGAACAAGAAAAGAGTTGAGAATAGGGTAAGAGCGTGTGTCCCTCTCAGGATAATTTGTGTTTCATGTGCGGTGCACACATACCTCAGTACATCGCACGTTACAAGATGTATCAAGAGCCATTTGAGATTATTATAGCACTTAAGATTCTGCAGACATAGAAGAAAAAAATATTGTAGTGACTGTCAGTCAGCAGTAAAAAGCCTGCTGTGGAGATTAAAACTATTCATGTATAATGAATCCTTTGTAAATGGAGACCCAATGCTGGTATGGTACTCTGTAAGTGAATAATATATCTAATCTATATCTACAGATATATATTTATTTGGTGCATTTGCCATTTGACTCACTGAAGGGAGGCAAAGAAAGTTTTTTGTTTACTTCTCTGAGTCTTATGTATCACATAGTAACTGGATTTGGAACTTGTTTAGAATGCCATAGAAGAGTTTTTAGTCATAGTTTAACCCTTTCCCTGCCACTGACGCAAGGCTTACGGCGGAACACAACTGCTTCCAGCTGGCCACGTCAGTAAGCCATACGTCAATGGCTCTCACCCATCTGCTATAAGCTCATGGTCGGCTGCAAAAAAGCCGCTGATGACAGCTATTAACAAAAAGTATACCCCCCGCCGGCACCGCCGCTGCACTCTGCAGTCTCTCCTTCCCGTCTTTTTCTCCTTGGACCCCCACTTCTCTCCCCCGCCTGTATGGGCTGAGTGTTTGTAAATAACTGGGGACATACTATGTGCCCCCAGTTATGATGAGCAGGAAGTGCGTTACATCACTTCCTGTTCATTCATGAGTTTCTGAATGGGTAGAAGCAGCTCACTACAGAGGCTTCTATCCATTCACAACTGGTTGATAGTAAACATTTTCTATCTCCAGTTTGTGAATGAATGGGAAGCCTCTGGGTGCTTTCCATTCATTCAGCCCTGAGGCTGCAGAAAAATAGATTGAAGACTCTATGTCCTCAATTTCTTTTTCTATTTCAAAAGGAAAATGTCAGGGGTCTATTTAGACCCTGATATTTCCCCGAAGCCCCCCCCCCCCAACTTTTAAAAATGTAATAAAAAAGAATAAAACACAACTCCCCTCACACACACACACATACACATGCAGTGCAGTACGTTGGTAAAATGCACCGTAGTGCTTGACTTTTTTTTCTTTTTAAAATAACATTGATTCAACTGTGTGGCAGCGCATGGCAAAGTCTTGTAATGCATTGCTATGGTACACTGTGTTCCGATTAAATGTATGTCTGTATTATTTTATCACAACACACACCAGCACAGCGCATAAAAGGTACTGCAGATTAGGTGTTACCACAACACAGATTTTTAACATAAATAGTTTTTTTACCTTTTCGCAAAAAGGCGGCATTTAAAATGTAATTAAATTGATGCTGACAGTGTCCTTCCTTCTGGAGGGTGGCTACTTTTGTTCCCCATGGTCCCTGTGTATGTTGTAAAGTAGTTACTACTCCAAGCTGATTGCTGAAGCTGACTGATTTAGATGATTCTATGTATAATGTAAAGCACTATATACATAAGTAATATGTAAATTCAGGAAATAAATAATGTAAAAAATTATATAACGACCAATGTATTAATGGGGACAAAAGGTTGCTGAGTGGTGGCAATTATCATTTTATAATGGAATTTGCATCATTAAGTATTAATATTCAGGAGCTGTGTTCCAGTTTTTAGTTGTAATATTGTATGATGGATGACAATGCGAGAATTTGGAGCGGGAACACTTTATATTAATGCTCGCAATAAACAAATTAAAGGCTCATTTATTGTAGGGATATATTAATTTACTATACAAAATTCTGCTGATAGAAATAATTGAAAATATGCTAGTAACTTCAGAATAATTAATCTTCAAGCCATTAGCACAAGATCATATTTTTAATCCATCTCTTATGTTATACTGTGCTTAGGCAGAAGAACTTTAAGACTTTTCTAAAAAGAGAAAACATCTTGGGTTTTATGTACCAAAATCTTTCATGTATTCTTTTTTTCAGAATGTATATCCCAAACTGTCTCAGTTAAGTGTAGTTGGCCCGTTAAAGTAGGTAAGGTTTGGCATTATGTTTTTAGTCAATCTAGGCAACTGCGCCATATGGAACAAGGGTGGAAATAATGTATTACTAACGGATGAAAGGTGTGCATGTTAGACTGCATGAACAATGTGCACAATCAAAATACTGAATGTTTTTGATGAAAGGAATCCCTGGCCTACATAGTAACAAGCTTTGGATTAGGTGCCCACAGAAATCCAGGTAAGATGCAACCAGAAGAATTTCAACAGCAGACAGGGCTGATGTTCTCATAAAACTGTGAGGCAGAAAACTAAAAGCAAGTAGACTGCGTCTCCTGAATGGATTGCCATTATTTTACTGGCTAATAGGATGGAATGTTGCACTATCTAGCACTGTAGAGTGCACTTGTTATTCCTCCAATAAAAAGTCAACTACATGCATCAATGTATTGGAAAAAATCTCTAGTGCTATAACCCTTAGACTTTCTGGTCAGATTCACAGTTCACTGCATCACCCCCTGTAACTTATGCAAATACTGACTTTTGGTGTTTACTGTATGGCAGCATTTAGGCACTCAATGATACACTCTAGGAGGTAGGCGAGGGGGCTTCTGCAGCATTTGCTGGGAATTCTGGAATTCTGGAATGAGTGGGGCCAACTAAGAAATCTAAAGTTGAGCTATGGCACTGGCGCCTCTGCAACTATCAACTTAGTCTTCCCTTAAGGTACACACAAAATGTGCTTTAAACTCATAAAGAGTAACAGAAGCCACTAAATATTTCCCTTGGCTGGAGAAATTGCAGACTCCAGATCCCATAGTGGATGGTCTCATGTCTAAATTTTTAGGTCACATGGTCACAACTTTTGGCCACATGATCTCTGCTGGAGTAGAGGGTCGGAATTCAGATTGCCTCATCCTCCCCTTCAGCAGTGAAGGTTTGTATTTCAAAACTTTTGTTAAGTATGATAACTTTTAGGAAGTGAGGTAGGAAGAGTACCAGGGAATCATATTTGACAACAAGTCCACTTAACAGCTGAGTTCCATCTTTGTGATACATGACATAACTTTTTTGTTTGTGGGTGCTTGCAATATGCTTTGCGCCTGTTTTTCAAACCTGCTTGCTAACATACAAGAACACAAGCTACATGAATGTTCTGTAGAAAACTGCAGACAGACTTGTATGGCAACCAGTACAACTTAACATTTTTCTCTTGGTATATGTAATTCTCTAACAAATCTGTATAGATATAAGGGAGTGGCTGATGGGTTAAAGCAGAACTCCAGAGAAAGCAATGGCTAACCCTTGTAGTGTTTCCCCTCTGCACAGCAAAGGTTAAATGTTCATTTTATCTAACAGTAGAAGAATAAGCAGAACAACCTTATTTGTTGTTCCTCCCACTTTCCAACACTCAGGGTATGTGGACAGAGCCTCAATGACTTCATGTACAGTGCAGAACCACTGGTCTTGCATTGTATGTGATGATGTTGGAGTACCTGGGAGCAGTCAAAAGGTGAAGAGAAGCGACTTTGGGGACCAGTCATGTTGTGCAAAGGAAGCCTGTGTGAGTGAGGAAAACAATGAGTATTTCTCCTTTTTCCTATATAGTAATCGTAGATAAAACAAGCATATAACCCTTGCAGCCCAGAGAGGAACGCACTGCAAGGCAGAACTTTTGCTTTTTCTAGAGTTCCACTTTAAGTAAATCTTGTTGTACTTTACAATATAATTTTTTTTTAGAAAAGATGGTGTTGTCCTGAGAATCAGGAGAGACAAGTAAGAGACAAGCACTGTCATGCACTTACGTTAAGTACAGGACACTTACGCATTTGTTTGCTCTCTTTTGGCAGCTGCATCTTGATAGTCTGGCTGCTTCCTTCAAGGACAAAGACAAAACTCTTCACTTCCTTATCAAAGCCCTTGAATCAAATTAATAAAAAAAATATAATAAATTAGCCATCAAATGTCATTAGAAAAAACACAGAGCAGAACCGATCAAAGAAGACGCTCTTTTTTCATCTTCCTAGAATACTAGACATTAATCCCACAGTGGTTCTGTAACAGATGATGAAGTACAGTACTCTTTTTTAAAACAGAAGGCTTTTACATGTCATCACTTCCATCGAAAATCCAAACATTAAGGGGTTTAGTCCTTATTTAAGACTAGTGGAAGGAGCCCTGGTAGTTAAGTGTGCACCAAGGACCATTGATTTATAGCAGGGGTAACCAAACTCCGGCCCTCCAGCTGTGGGGAAACTACAAATTCCATGATGCATCTCTCTCCGGGAGTCATGTATGTGGCTGTGAGAATCTTGCAATGCCTCATGGGATTTGTAGTTCCACCACAGCTGGAGGGCCGGAGTTTGGCTACCCCTGATTTATAGCATAGGTACAGTCCTAAAGTGTATGTCCAGCCAAAGCTTTTTATTAAAATTTTTGGATAGCGTGGGTAAGGATGTTTTTAAAGATCTTTTTTTCCATGTAGTAACATAGGAATACAACAACAAGGACTGCAGTTGGTACATACAGTGCTAATAAAAAAATAACACAAACAGACACATAATGCACTTACTCCTTTACACTTGTCCGGCAACCACCTTACTCCGTGAATGGGTAGGAATTAGAGAGACTTTCCATCACTTACTGTCTCACAGACAATGTTTTACCAGACAGGAAGTGAGGAAAAATCTACAACAGGAACTTGGGCAGTGATATATATTTTTACTGCTGCCTGTGTCGCATTCTGTCTGGTAAAACCTTTGTTACCAGGATAGCAAGGCAAGTGAGAAGATATTCCTCTAATTTATTCCACCAGTACCTGGCCGAAACCACATAATTAGTTTCAGATGGAATTACACTTTAGTTTAGGTAGGGCCAATTGATGCTAGGTAGTCAAAAAGAGTTGACTACTTAAATGTTAGTAGGCGCACCAGCAAAAGTAAATTTGAAAAATGCCAGGAGACTTCCAGTCCAGGCCTTTGGGAACAGGAAAGCCATTCCTTTCTTTTGGTTATGCGACAGAAGAAATGTGGGATACAACTTTATGCACATTCTATAATGCTGTTCACTAAGACTAAAGATAGCCACATACCTCAAGATTTTCCTTGTTCAGCCCCGTGGACTGAAAAAGAAAAAATAACTCAACGTCCCCACCCACGCTTAACAGTGTGGATGGAGGAATCTCCCCTGCTGGCTATTGTATTCGGATATTCCATTCCGCAACTGTTTGTATACCCATGTAGTGACTGCAGCTGATCAAAAGTTTTCCATCCGGCTCTTTTGACAAAAGGTAATTGAAAAATCAACTTTTGTCAAGCTAGGTGCTGCATCAGGGCCACCCATGGATCACAATCATGGTTCACCGATTCAGCAGGAAATGGTCAAAATGCAATCTGTGTATGGCCACCTTATACTAACTGATTTAGAAATAATTGATTACCTTCCAAATAGATGACTGACTTCCAAAGAGTTTCCATTTTGCCACAGGATCTTTACCTTGAGAACTGAAGATTTCAAAAAATGCTCCCCCCTAAAAGAGAACAGACAAAGATAATTCATAGGTAAATTTAAAACAAGGAAGTGCAGTTGAAAATAAAATACCTCCATTAAATCCAGTTATGCATGGAATTACAATACTTAAAGGAGAACTATGGGGTCAGTGTTTTTCCCCATAGTTCTCCTTGGGGTAACGGGAGGACACAAACTAGCATTCTCCCGTTACCCTAAGCTCAGTATACCGCAAGCTACAGCTCGCGGTATACTGAGACGCCGCACCTGGAGCGGATCCTGACGTAGCTGACGGGATCCGCCCAGCTGCGTGAGTGACAGCTGGCTCTGCCTATCTAGAGGCAGAGCCAGCTGTACCCGCCCCCTCCCCCGTCCGTTCCGCCAGTCAGCGCTGGCAGATCAGAGCGGGGAGAGGGGAATCCAGCCCCTCCCCCTGTCACGGCAGAGAGCCGTGACAGGATCGAGAGGTGAGGGAACCCAGTATGTGTTCCCTCACCTCCCGATCTACTGAGCCGACCAGTGACAGTCTCATTGTCACAGGTCGGCTTAGAACTATGAGGTGAGTGGAAATCACTCATCTCATAGTTCTCCTTTAAATGTGTTTTAAATACTGTATTATCTTAATCCATATATATGCTAGTCTCCTGAACATCAGCATTCACACTGGGAGGGGAAGCAATGTAAGCAGATGATCTAAGTAATGGAGCACGCTGATTGGAGATGACATTATGAGATAATCTGCCACCACCTATATATCCTACATAAAGCATTTCCTTTATTTAATTCCATGGTAGGGGTGCCCACCCATTTAGGTTAAAGTTCCCCATCTTTGGTCAACTTCTGTTGTCAACAGTGGAGCACATAGATGGCCTCATCAGTGAGCTGCTGTTCCTTCACTAACCAATCTCACTCCTGGCTAAGCTTTACTAGCTTTCTCTGCAGTTGAGTAATGGTTTGAACATGTATCATGTCTGACAAGTGATTCTTTAAAATAGAAAAATACCTGAAAAAAATTACAAAAGTTTTTTGCAGATTAATATGTAGTTCAACTGTGCATTTAGCTGTTTGCCTGCAAATATACTGTAAAGAAAGGATCTATCACTTTCCGACTAAACAGACTATATTATATTACTGTCCTTGAAGGAAGTGGTACATTTCTGAACAAAAAAGGCTACGAACAATTGACATGTTCTCTTCAGCGTGGAATGCTTATTGACATTCTTCAATTGAAGAGTCTTATTTGTGGAAACCTGCCAAGTGAAATGTACAAACTACAAATATTACTGAAGAGCCTGCAAGTATCTATTAAATTCTCCAGTTTTCCATGCACAGTGGAGCTGTTAAAATCTACCTCCTCATGCTTCCATTGGCCACTCAGATTCTAGATCTAGCATACATAAGGCTTAGCTCCAATGGGGCTCTCATGTTGATAGCATAGGAAGTTTCCAGGCTTACCAAAAATGTATTGGAAAGGTGCCCTTCACCAATATTGATAGTTTGTACACTTGATTTATGTAACAGGTTCCCTTTTGAGTATTTGAAGCAAGAATTATCATTGGCGCCCATAGAATTCACTTAAGTTTTTTCATTTTTCCATTTTCACTGGCTGGGTGACACACAGAGCCTGATTGGTTCCTGAAGGTAGCTGGTCTTATTGGACACACCTTAATGTAAGAGGCCCTGAGTGCAAGGGATTGGTTGATGCAACAGGTAAATGGTTCAAAGATATGTATTTCTGCAGTTTAGATGATTGTTCGAGTTCTACAGTATTTCAGGAACATTGAGTAGTAGGACTTCTTCCACATGAATAGCAGTTCACTGGCTGGATTCATTTGTTGCCTAGGATTGTAATGGCCTGGCCAGGAAGGGGGTGTAAACACCTGGTCTTGAAGTGGTTAAAGCTATTCTCCAGGCAGATGTATAAAGAAAACTATTATTTAACAGTTTTGTATTAATTTAAAATTGTTAAAGTGAGCAAAGGTATGAGCACCTCAGTCTGTGTTAGGGAACCGATAAACCAAAAACTTAAAGTGCAGGTTTAAAAAAATAAAAAGAGTTTATTAAAAACTACAATAAACATTAATGGCAAAAAAACAGTAAAAACTACAATAAACATTTATGGCAAAAAACAATGGAGAAAGTCCAGGACGTTGTCAGTGCAGAGCCAGAGGTCAGATGCCAAAGCGGGTAGTCAGCCGAACCAGGTCAGGGAACAATGAGAGCAGGATGAATGGAAACAATAGTCAGAGTCAGTAACCAGGAGATCAGTCAGTCAGAGCCAGGGTCATACATGGAGAACAGGAACAACTGCAGAGCACTTGGTAGATGAGAATACACGCAAGGGCAAAGACTGAATGGACAAGCGGATGGTTAAATAAAGAGCTGGTGTTTGCTTCATCACTCTGAGACAGGAATATTGCAGACATTTTGTCAATAGTTGCAGAATGATGATGTTAACGGGTTTGATCATAAAGGGCGCCAAAGCGGAACAATCAGTGTCAGAAGCACTGGAGTGCACAAGCAACTGCACAAGGGTAAGAAACCTTGACAGTCTATTGCTGCTTTCCTCGATGTCTAATCACACACTAGAGATGGAGAAGTGACCTGGTTGTGCTGCCTGCTAGTGCTAAGAAGGGTAATAGGAGGCTTTAGACTTTATACTGGTACTGCTGCCCGTACCTCTGATCTCACTTGCAGAGCAATGGCCTTTTTATATTCCACACACTTGCCAAATGCATGGTCCCCCACTGCATGCTGTGGTTCCTCCCACCAGCTCCACCTCACTTCAAGACACACTAGTGACTTAAGGTTCAGCAGAAGAAACCACAGCAAGGAGTGGGAGACTCAGGTACCTGACACTCCTAGAATGTTAAATATAAAAATTATTTAGGAGGCCACAGCTCTTAAACATAGGGAAGATCTGTGGGGCAGGTGTACATGAGCCTTCTTACTTTGCAGGTGGTGCAACATTATTTTCCCCTGTTGACAAGTCATTTTAACAACGCCTCTTTAATTCCTGTCACATTTAAGAAGCTTGGATATATTTTCTCTTTCAGACCAGTTGGCCTTTATCACTCTTACATTTTACACTGCAGCTTCGATAAAGACAACAGCATAATTGTATGTGATGGCAAATAAAAATATCTGTTAGGAAAAAATGAGGCACATTATCACAGCAGGGGCCACTAATCTGCAGGACAGGCTCTTCGAGAAGATCACACGGCTTGCTGCAATTTAGACTGTGAAGGGGTGAGATTTTCACAGCAAAAGCTGCTATAAAAAGGAAATTGGGGATATTACACAGGAACCTCCTGGCTCCTATAACATCTGGGAATGCTGGCTGGCAACCGCATTGTTGGCTGTGAAGGGATTCAGGTGTAGAACTTAGCTAGCAGCCAACTCTATATAGCAAAATATGTTAACCTCAAGTGCCCCCAAATATTTTATGCATCCTTAGAGGACCAAAAGTGACATTCACTAATAGCTACAGCTACATAAAGTTTGGGCATTAGATCTGATGTAGCTTAAACTCTCTCATCAGAGAATTATACTAGCTAACATTGTTGAGCACTCCAAAAAAAATTGTTGACTGGCTGTCACTCACTTAAGAACTTTGACACGGTTATTCTTATAAGGGTGAAGAGTTTGGAGAAGGCAGGAGAGGTGAACAATCTAGGCCAAAATAGCTGATTTGGAAAGATTCTCCAATTCAACTCACTTTCCAGTTCAGCTATGTTGTCCTAGATTGTTCACTTCTACTGCCTTCTCCAAACTTTTCACCCTTTTGTGAATAACCCTTTGAGTCACAAACCTGGAAGCCCATCTCCAGCTTCAGATTTCATTCACAGATTTAGTCATGGTAATAATTGATAATAGCAAAACTTACCATTCATTGTCATAAATAGGTACCAATCCATGTTTGTATTGAATGACATCCAAGCCCTTTCTGTTTAGCCAGACAGTCATGACCACACCCCCTGTAAGAGGTACCATCATTACGGCCACACACATCACCATCTTCCAAGAACCTAGAGCTCAGCAATGTATGCAGGGAGTTGATGTCCCATAGAGACAGGAAGGTGTGCAAGGAGCAGGAAGGTTGTTTTAGAAGTTTTAGTAGATCCTGGAATCAAACTTTAAAGCACAGTACATGTAAACCTTTAAAGCAGAATTCTCCCAGCCCTTCTCCCTTGCCCCTCAATACACATAGCTGGGTCCCCCCACCTGCAGGTCTGTACTTATCTCCTCCAACAGTTGCGGCCTCCTGTGATGCTTGCAGCCCAGCTGGTAAAAATCTATTTGGGGATGCCAGTATCTGTGCTCTAACATCCCATAGACTTGAATGGCACTTACCTGTATGGCAAGAGCACCAGGTTTTTACTGGCCAGGCTGCAGAAATCACAGGATGCTGTAACCAACAAAGGAGGTAAGTACAGAGCTGTGGGGTGCGTGGGCAGCTCCATGTATCAAAGGGGGCTAAGGAAGGGGGCTTTACGGGTGTACATGTACTTTAACTTTGACTTTCCTAATCTGTAAGTCAGAATACTTTGATCGGAGTATTAAAACCAGTGGGTCAGCATTAGGGTTGCACAGATACCAAGTACAGTACTCGGTACAAGTACGAGTACATGTACCGATACTTTTGAGCTCCAAGACTAGACTAGAGAAAAATTAAAAAATTAGGAGGCAGCTGTCATTTGTAAGGAGCACACGGAGCTCCTGGGATTTGTACATCTCTGTTTTAATGTACGATTTTGTTTTTATGAATATAAATATAGGGATACACAGATACCAGTTTTGTGAGTACGAGTACTGGTACTTGCCGAGTACTTACAAGTACGAGTACTGATACATTTTTGTTTATTGTCATGTGACAGTTTTTCTAAAACAATACAGACTAATGATTTCAGGACAGTGGTGGAGTGCCAAAGCCATGTCCCAGCTGCAACCGCTGCAACCCTGGTAGTTCTCATGAAAATGCCAAGTATCTGCACTGGTACTCGAAAAGTATCTGTGCATCCCTAGTCAGCGTGACACCCAGGCAAATAGCATTTGTAGAAATAGCTCAGCCATGCTTGTCTTCCTATTTCTATTTAGGACAGGTTTCCTTTACCTGTTTTTGGCATTAGGTTAAGTTGTCTAGGAGCTTCTGATATCCTTATTATTGGTTGCCATCTCGTTCTAATCAAATTCCTCAGAATGCTGTAATACTTCTAGATACAAAAGGCCATTTAGCCTCTGAATCCTTGCAATTCATTGAGGGTCCTGTTACCCAGTCCAACACAAGCTTCCAAAGTCCAATGAAGGGGGATGTTTGCAACCCCCGAAATGCATTGGGTATTACATCTTGTGTCGTCTCAATTAAGGACTGAATAACATATCTCTGGACTCTATGAAAACGGGTGTAGCACTCAATTTGTGCTCCCAGATGTTTTGCTTTCTCAGTCCACCCTCATTGCAGATTTAGAGGATGTCTACACACCTTCTTCTTTGTTTTTTTGGTTTTAAGGTGTGCGTAGTTAGTGTTCGTGTGTCATTTTCCCCACAAATGGTCATAGTCTGTGTGCTGCCACTATAGTTGTAAAAAAATGGCACAATCCATAGTCATAGTTATTGTTCACAATAATTTGAAATGAGAATTTATATTGTTTATTTTCCTTAAGCCATTTAGTCATTGATATTGTATAGCTAATTAATATACTGACATCTTGTGGACATTCTGTTTTTCTGTGTGCCCTCCTATCTATGATGTATTTCCCCTTTCTTTATGAGACCAGTTGTTTGTTTAGTGTCATGGCTGAGAGTAACATGACCACATGTTAATCTGCATTGCATGCTTGGAAACATTACTATCTCCGACCTTCAAATATCATCTATTCATTCATCTGCTGTATCCTGTTGTCTGCTGTAACCCTGCCGCAAGCAATAAAGCACTTTCAGGAATGAAAATGTATTTGGTGCGTTCAGCTATCTGATAAGGAATGTCCTCAGCGATTATATCTGCTTATACAGGCCAGGTATAGAGGTCTCAGCAAGGGTTAAATCGCCAATACAACAATCGGAGTCAGAATAATCTGTGAATCCAAAGGCAGTCCTTTGAGAAAAGCAGACTGGGAGGGGGGTTGTCTCTCCTTTGAGTCATTTAGCTCTGTGTAGTTAAGTTGCTGCTTTGAGGCTTTCTTCATAATACAGGCTATTTAGAGTAAAGTAATAAAGTCAGCCTGCTAATAAAGGCCGAGTTATCCTATGCTCCACACGCTGGTTACATATTACTGTACATTTATACAAACTTCAAATAAGTTTGTATAAATGTACAAATAAGGCTAACGGATATAAAAAGGAAAACATTTTTTTAAAATGTATTTTGTATTCCTGACTGTAGCAAATACAATTTAGACAACACTACACATCCTTTTAAAGTGTAAAGAAAGTGGAAATTCAATAGACGGGGCGGGGAGATGTCAGTAAAGGATAAAAGACTAAAAAATCAGAAATAGGAAACATTGCCACTAACAGCAATAAGTAAAAAGCCGAATGTGTTGAACTGGTAGCCTCTAAAGCATCATAATCATTTTCAAAAGTGAATGTAAATCGCCCAAACAGTTCTACCTCAAATATTTCTTATTATACTCCGCTATCCAAAAATACGCACACAACGTATTAAACAAACACAACATGTTTACCCCTCTAACGACACAAGCGTGAGTCTTACCGCTCTGACATATTCGGTATGAAAACAAAAATTAAATATTCACCAAAAGCAACTCTTGCTCACAGATTCAGATAATTTTTTGTCGAATTATTATCCTTCTGTGCCAGAGGCAGTGAGCGCTTATTGGGCAAAGGCATCACTAACGACAGCGCGGCTTATTCCTTCCTGGTTATTTCACCTGTGTCCGATGGCTGTACTGTTTTTATGAACTTTAAAAACAAAATAGATGTTTTTCTGTTTGTGTAATCGCTCAAAGCAATTCTCTGCAGTGGTCCAGTGATTTTAAGAATATTCACCTTGCTTTGAGTCACAGGCACCTCTGAATTGCATCTATCAATACCATTTTCTGCTTCGAGGTCTTCTATAAAATAATCACTGTTATATGTAGGATGCTTTTTTGCATTTTGAAAATCCTTGTTTACAGTACATCCATTTGTTGTGTATATTTTTTTTTGACGTTTTTTGTGTCTACAGTTGCCCATAATATAAATATATTATAGGGTATATAGGGTAACATAACATTTTAAGTGTATTTAAAGGAAAACTCCTGTAACAAATGTTATTAACCCTTTACGTGGGGTTACCCCCCTAAGGCAAGGGTTAACTGCTCAATAAAAAAAGTTATACTCACCTAAACCCCCGAGCCGGAAGACCAGTCCCTAGAGAGTTTCTCTCCCTCCTCTTCAGCGGTCTAGGAATCCTTGAGTCTTCACATCCAACACAGTGTATAGGATCTGAGGACACTGAGGGACATATCATTGCTGCAGCAGAGAGGAGAGAGGCTGGAGGTAGCGCTGCCGGCTCAGAGGATTGAGTGTAACTTTTTTTTTTTTACCCTAGGCTTAAAAAAACAGTTAAAGGAGATATAAGGGGTGAGTGATTTACACTCCTCCTCATAGTTGGAGCCGCCCTGTTATATTTAAAATGTCACACGTTGGCTCTATTGATCAGGAAGTGAGTGAACACATACCGTCGCTCGCTCACTTACCAATCATCTCCCTGCAGAGAGCGGTGACTACCGGTCTCTGCTCCCTGCACAGATTCCCCCCTCCCCTCTCCGATCCTTCAGGGCTGAGTGGAGGAACGGATGGGGGAGGGGGCGGGCACAGCTGGCTCTGCCTCTAGATAGGCAGAGCCCGCTGTCAAAACCGCCAGCTGGGTGGATCTCAACATTATTTTCGGGATCCGTCCTGGCTGCAAGGCTCTCAGTATATAGCTCACAATAGCCCACTATATACTGAGTTTTGGGTCACGGGAGGAGGTTAGTATATGTCCTCCCATCACCCTAAAGAGAACGATAGGATAAAAAGGTTACCCCATAGTTCTCCTTTAACCCATGAAGTGTGGGGGTAGTCCCAATGCAAAGGTTAATAACATTTCGGCCTGGAGTTCTTCTCTAAATGATAGGATGCCCGCTTCCACACAAAGATGGTGTTGCCATAAGGTGATACTCATTTGTACAGGACAGCTGTTGGGTTGTATGGCCCACCAATCAAGATCTACAGATAAGGAAAGGAACAAGCTTCACAGTTACCTGAGCTGTAGAGAGCTATGTGACTTCACTGAACTGCCTGCCTTCTATTCTTATCTGCTGACGTTTATGGCTGTGTACCATCACGTTAAAAATAAATAAGAACTAAACCAGGAGGAATGTTTTAACTGTGGGGGGTGAGCAAGAGAGGAACAATCTGATAGGGGAGAGGCGACCAGGGAGAACAGAAGCAGAAAGGTGCAGATGGAAACGTTTTCGGGTATACTTGTACCTCCATCTGCACCTTACTGCTTCTGTTCTCCATGGTTTTCTTATATAGGAGCAACTGACTTTGTTTTCACTTATACAGGAGCACTCACATTGGCTCATGTACATGTGTAACACAACTGTGCTCCGGATCAACAATGAGGAATACTGCACAGCGGACCCACACACTGAGCACTGATGGGTTGTGTGTTGGGCACCAGTCTTGTATGGGTATGCACCGCCACGCCCCCTCCCGCCCCTGAATGCAGGTGTTTTTTCATTGGTAGATCTCAATGAGCTCGTCATTTGAAAAGTAGATCTCCAGACGAAAAATAGTGGGCGCCCCTGGGTTAGACAGTGCTGGCTGCAAGGTTGAGGGTTGCACTATGCCACATTGGTGTCGAGTGAAGGAGCAGACCAGGAAGTGAGCATGGCAATACTAGTGGAGGCCTGATGACTCGGACATAATGGTATTACTGTTACAAGACCTTATAGTATCATTTGGACATGGAACGACCCTCCTAGGAAGGTGATGTGCTAACCCATGAGCTTTTGAGAAATGAGTGCTGTTCTCCCATCCTTGACTGTGCCCCACTTATCCTGACCAATGGCACACCACTACCTCTGCAATCACATGCAGTATATTTCTTCTGTACATTTTACTGATGCCCCATCATCGCTGGCATCTTCCTGGATAGTGCCATAGAAATCCTTATGCTAACAGATCCAATGACTTTCTTCCTTTACAGTGCCAGTATTGCCACCTCTGCACAAATCCACTGACGCAGTGCCACCTAATTTTTATCTTTTTAAAATGTTGTCATTTAAATTAAAGCAAATCTGACAGGAGAGGAAAATGACATCTGCGTTCCCTGACCTCTCTCCTTCTAAAAATGCTTTCTTTATATACTGTAAGCTTTCTCATACCTGATATTCATTTTTGAACATGACAATGCTTCCACCAGCAACTATCTGCAGTTTTCACTTCAAGAAATGATTATATCTGAAAAATAAACACAATTCCTCATTATTTACAATGGAAGCGCTGCCTGCATCATATACAATACTTATAATAATACCTAAGCCATATATTTCTTCAGGCATAACTGAATTGATTTGTGCGATGTGGAAAAATACATTCTAGTTATAATGAAATCACCCGATAATAAGCTGAGCTGTCAAACAAAATGGTGGCACTGTCTGGTGTCCACAAGAAAACAAGTTTTAAGAATATGGGGGGAATATGGGGGGAATTTATCAAAACTGGAGCAGGCAGAATCTGGAGCAGTTGCCCATGGCAACCAATCACCATCTCTCTTCAGTTTGCTCAGGTAAGATTTGCAAATGAGACAGAGAAGCTGATTGGTTGAGTGCAAATCTGCTCCAGATTTTGTCTGCTCCAGTTTTGACAAATTCCCCTCATTGTGTTTTGTCTGATGGCTTGCTTGCCTGTCTATCTGTCTATTTCTATTTCACAATACATTTACTAGTGTCATGTATTATCTTAATTCACATTTAGGACAAGCTGACATCTGCCTGCATGCAGAAATGAGGGTTCATAACACAAGTTTCTGGATGCATTATCACATGTGCTTATGTGCCCCGATGATCAATTTCTAGTGCAAGTTACTGTGTGGTTCCTGTGTTTTGTGTCATTTTGCATTAAAATTTGGAAGAAAAAAAACTTCACCTCACTGTTCATTCACTCACATTCACGCTTGCTAAGTAATGTGTAAGTGTAACATTTGCTAGTATTTATTCCATCTTGCAGGCATCCCCTGACAATAACTCCATTGATAACATCTTTGTCCAGGCATCATTCTCCAGAGTCAGCATCTACTTCCTGGACTGTCATGTAAATCTCAGGCTCCATTCACACATGAGCGGTTTTCACCGCATATTTGGCCTTACAAATACGCACAGAGCCGCTCTAAACATAAAAAACAATGGGGGGAATTTATCAAAACTGGAGCAGCAGAATCTGGAACAGTTGCCTATGTCAACCAATCAGTTTCTCTCTTCAGTTTGCTCAGTTAAGGTTTGGAAATTAAAGGTAGATGCTGATTGGCTGCCATGCACAGCTGCTCTAGATTTTGTCTGCTCCAGTTTTGATAAATTCCCTGCATTGCATTTTAATGTGCATTGTTCACACTATTGTGGGGACCGTGCGATACAAAACCACGCGCCCCGTAAAATAGTTCAATCGCGATTTCAGGGGCGTATTCCGCTTGTTCGCGGCTATAGTAATAGCCGCAAATGAGTGGAATCCGTGCAGTTGTAAAGATTTTAGCGTTTTCGTGACATGCGGTCTTCCACGCGGAAACCGTGATCCCTGCTGGCTTCTACACCACTCCCTCCAGTCTGTCTCCTCCTCCACTCCAACGATGCTATGTCCCCTGACGTCCTCACGTCTATTAGACATGTAAGCTGTGGAAAAAGTCTGTTCGGATATTTAATTGTATCGGAATTTGGGAACCAAAATTCAATTCTGGTTTCGGATTTGGACGAAATGCGAAATTTCGTTTGTTTCGGATGAGTTCACGAATATTCATTGCGAATACCACAGAAAACCATATACAGATACGAATCTCCTAGACCCGAATGCCTGTGAGCCATATACATACATTACTAAAGCTGAGGCTCTCAGACCCAAATGGCATTCGGGTGCTCCCAAATGCAATTCGGAAATTTGGATCCCGAATGCCATTCGGGTCTAGGAGATTCAGCTTTAGTATTGTATATACTGTATATGGCTCCCACGTTGCCGTAATAAAAATTAATGTTCAGACCCATTCGGATGCATGAAACCGAAAAACACATCTGATTGGCCAGCAAAGTCACATGTCCGATTCAGTTTAGTTTTTGAACGAAATACGGACGAGATCCATAATTCGAAAACGGAAATTCGGACTCGGACACATTCGGATGCATTGGGATTGGGAAATTCAAAAGTGTCCGAATGTCCAAATTTTGGAGAATTTGTCCAAATTATGATTCTGAACTAAACAAATCACACATGTCTAACGTCTATAAACTGTATTCAATGCAATGACTCACTGGACCTTAGACTGCTGAAGTAGAGGGGGAGCGAGGCTGAAAGGACCAGTCTAAGAGCAATCCTGGATTGTGGTTCTGGTGAGTATAACTTTGTTATTTTAGCTCCCTAAACAAAACAAGCACTTAACCCTTGCAGTCTGGGGGTAGCCCCACTTCAAATGTTAAGATTTGATTTGCCTAAAGTTCTGTTTTAAGGGGACTAATGTGTTTTGTTTTACAGACACATAAAAATCCACTGAACAAAAAATTCCTTCCTCCGCTCCCCAGTTGCCAATTCGTTGACTATTCTATAATCGAGAACATCTAACCTAACATTTCCACGCACGGGAATTGCGTAATGGTAACAGAATTTCTTCTTTTTTTCTGGAATTATTCGTTTTATGAACTAAGCAATTTTCAAAAATGATCAAGGTACTTAAATAGTTCACTGCTTGGCAAATGATGGATGAAATTATTATTGGGTGTCTGTAATTAGAAAGCATAACTGCGTGACTGTCTGTCATAACCACAAGAATGATTTATATTCTAATAAGCGTTTTCATGTAATGTGCGAGATCAATTACATAATGATCTGCACTGAGCTCTTTCCGTGTGAAGTTTGCCTGAAGTTTTAATCCTCTTGCACTTCAAGGTAAAATGGATACAATTTTGAAATGGCTGAAATTTATTAGCCCTGTTTTGCATTGATCCATTTAGTAGATACCGGTGAGGGTCTTATCTTGACTGTGCACTGTCCTAGCTAGATGCATAAGTCAATTATTGGCCATCGATTCATCTGGATGCTTGCATCTGTTAGTCATGCCTGGTCAATCTACTCTTTCAGGCTCATAAATCTATTAGCTATGCCTTAGCTATCCATCTTTTACTTGTCATTTATCTGTTAATTACAGCTAATCCATCTGTCTTTCTAAATACATTTAGAATACATTGAATGTCTATTTACATTTTATTTATGGTGCTAGACTTTGCAGATCTTGCAGGAAAATTTAATTAAACATAAAAAATATTTTTTTTTAACATGGAGGAAACAGAAAACTCCTCAAAACCTGCAGGATTTTTCAACAGTCTGCAAGATATTGATGATTAAAAGTGAACATCCAGATTTACTGAGATAAATGTCCTTGGTCATTGGTATATACGGCGATGAGAAAAAGTAACTACACTCAAGTCACACAACACAAATGCAGCAAGCAATGATTAAAAAAATACCTGATTTGAATCCCATTGAAATGTTGTGGAGAGGGATTTGAAAAGGGCAGCCCATGCAAGAAAAGGGTGTACTTACTTTTTCCACAGTTGATATTTTTGTTAAAAAGGCCAATTGTCCTTGTGTTTTTATTAAATTATCACCTTTACGGACTGTGTCAGAAACGAATGTTTCCCTTAAAAAAGAGCTCTTGGCAAAACTTTTATTAACCCTTGCATTGGAGCTACTCCCGCACTGCAAGTGTTAATTGCACATTTTTGTCTAGGTACTAAAAGAAAAAATCTTATACCTGCCCAATCCTCGGAGCTCGAATGCTCTTAGACCGATCCCTTCCGCCTCACTCCCCCTCCACTGCAGCTGTCTATAGAGCCATCATGTCCATTACACTGTGAATTGGACATGCCATTGCTTCAGTGTAGGAGGAGACAGGCTGGAGGGAGCGCTGTGGACGCCACCTTCGAGGTTTGGGTGAGTATAACTTTTTTATTTTAGCACCTAGACAAAAACGAGCAGCTAACCCTTCTAGTGCGGGGGTAGTCCCACTATAAGGGTTCATTAAAGTTTTGCCTGGAGTTCTTTCAATTCATCAATTTTAGCTAATTGTACTTGTTTTTTTACATTACTGTATTGCAAGAATTTTTAGCAAACCTTATTGAAGATGGTTATGTGCTTCTGTTCTCTAGACACTGATGTAAGCCTTTCAAGTCCTAATCACATGACTAACTTCAATATTTATAAAAGCAAGAGCCCCACCTACCTGTATGCCGGCAAGCTCTATGCAGGTATCCTGATAAAGATACGAGTCTTATTAAAGGGGATGCCAGTGATTTGACCTCAGGCTCTTTGCATTGCTCAAAGTAGACTGGAAAAAAAAGTTGGGACTTGCATTATAACTACCACTGCCGATTTCCTGATCTACTGATGTGTGGTTTCCATATGCTGTTTTCACTGAAGGTAACCTCTGCATGAATTGCCCAGGTGTATGATGAATCATTCTGCTTTGCAGGGAGTTAACTGCTAAGGCTGATTTAATGACTTATGCAGTACATTATATCGTCGTCGCACAGATTTCCAGTCTCTCAAATCAAAAAAAGAGAAACTCTTGAATTAGAACGGATGAAGTTGGTTCAGAAACATTTCCACTGCACAACATTTAAAGGATGTATGCCAATTACTGAGCTGAACAAAGAACAGCAGAGGAGCATTAGCAGGCATTCCAACCCCAATGTCTACATTTGTCAACTACCTGAGGACACTTCTTCAATGTATTAGCAGATTTATATAAGGGGAGTGCAGTGCTAACTAGTGAGAATTAAAAAGAAATTAGGTGGAGGAAATCCCAAATTCTCTTTTTAACCGCTTGAAGACCAGGTGTTTAGACCCCCTTCCTGGCCAGGCCATTTTTCAGTATTCAGCGCTGCGATACTTTGACTGACTTTTATTCCATCATATAACCCTGTACTGAAATGAGTTTTATACCATTTTTTGGGGACACATAGAGCTTTCTTTTGGTGGCATTTAATCACCACTGCGGTTTTTATTTTTTACTATAATTAGGAAAAATTACTGAACATTTTGAAATTTTTTACATTATGTTACATTATGTTAGGAAACATTTATTATTACCCAGTTTTTTGGTAAAATATAAAAGACGGGGTCACGTTGGGTAAATAGACACCAAACATGTCAAGCTTTAAAGTTGCGCGCACCCGCAAAATCGCAGAAAACTACCATA